TTCTGTGCAGCCTTCACCACTCTCTGCAAAGCTTTTCTTTCTGCAGCTGTGCAGCCTCCATGCCACACGTTGATGCTCGAGCACAGGATGCTCTCCACTGCACACCTGTAGAAGGAGGTGAGGACTGAGCTTCCCAGACCAGCTCGCCTCAGCCGTCTGAGGAAGTAGAGTCTCTGATGAGCTTTCTTGATCAGGCTGGTGGTGTTGTTGCTCCAGCTGAGGTTGTCATTCATGTGTACACCCAAGTACTTGTAGCTGGAGACCACTTCCACCGCAGATCCTCTTATGTTCAGGGGGGTGTAGGTGTTTTTGTTCCTTCTGAAGTCCACAATCATCTCCTTTGTCTTCTTCACATTGATGTGAAGGTTATTCTCTCTGCACCAGCTCTCCAGGTGTTCCACCTCCTGCCTGTAGCTGGACTCATCATTGTTTGTGATGCATCCCACCACCGCTGTATCATCTGCAAACTTTACAATGTGACAGCCTGGATGGGTAGCTGCACAATCATATGTGAGCAGAGTAAACAGAAGGGGGCTCAACACACATCCCTGAGGAGAGCCAGTGCTGAGGGTTATGGTGGAGGAGGAGAGGTTGTGGATCCTCACTAACTGTGGTCTGTTTGTTAAAAAGTCTAATACCCAGTTGCAGATGGAGGGGCTTAGTCCTAGTGTGGATAGTTTGTCCATCAGGGTTTGGGGGATCATGGTGTTGAAGGCAGATGTGAAGTCCACAAAGAGCACACGGACGTAAGAGTTTTTCTGCTCCAGGTGGTTGAGTGCAGTGTGGACCACAGAGGAGATTGCAAGCTTTAAAGCTTCGACACCTGAAGGGGACTTCTCAACACAGGTTCCTATCATGGTCTCAATCATTTCATTCCCATGCTACTTTTAGGCAGCTGTGGCTGAGTGGTTAGAGCAGTCGTCCTCCAATGCAAGAGTTGGGTGTTCAATTCTACCAGCAGTCACATGTCAAAGCGTCCCTGGGCAAGACACTGAACCCTCATTGCCTCCGATGTGTGTCCCATTGGTGTATGAATGTGATAAAGCACTGATTAGTCTTTGTAAAAGTATAGCAGAGTGCTGTATAAATGGGTAAATGAGGGCACAGATTGTAATGTAAAACACTTTGAGTATCTTGATAAGATAGAAAAAGCGCTAATTAAGTACAATCCATTTACCATTACTTTTAATGTCAGTCCCCACCCTCTCAAAGGTGCAGTTTATAATTAGCAAGTTGCTGCAGATTAAGAAGTTCGGCTGAACTTTTAGGGTGTGTTTTTAAAACATACAACAGACTTAAAGTAAAATTCTCATTATTATATAAATGAAAAGGAATAAACCAGAAAAAAAAAGCATAAACAGTGATGACATTTATAGACAATATAAAAACGACTGGATAGAAAACACTGTACTGTGAGGCGTTTGTTCATGGATACAGATTTGCAGCTTATTTACAAATGTGAGCAACATGAAACAAGAGGTCTTATGTATAATTGGTTAACGTCTTCAAAAAATGCATTTCAACATGTAAAAATATCATAGCAAAATGCCATGACTAAGGGCAATAGTCAGTGGTGTTCCACAAAGCTTAGTATTGGGATCTTGTTTATTTAAAATGTTTGTAAACTATGTTTGTGCTGTAACTAACGAGTGAAAACATATAATGTTTGCAAATACATGCAAAACTAGAAATAAAAACTGGATTATTTCTGGTCAAAGAGTTGTTTGATGTCATTAAGTAATTTATTAATGAAAATTAAACTACATTTATGGTTTTGGTTGTGACGGGGATCATTTTGTATGTATGTATGTATGTTTTATTTATTCATTTCATTTCATCCAAACAACAAATATAATACAATTTAAAGAAAAGAAAAAAGATATACAATCACAGAAATAAAATGAAAGGCAGCAGAAGAAGAATGAATTCTTATATCTGCCCCTTGTCCCCAAAATATATTCCAAACAAAATTACTATACAAAAGCAAGATGAATTAATAAAAAAATAAAAAGATAAAAAAAAATTAAAAAAAACTTAGCTAAAATATAAGATCAACTGTAAACAATTTTTATGAACTCACATTATACTTAATATTAAAAAAAAAAACATTTTTATCATCTTCTTGAATATGTACATAGTTTTGGCTTTTTTAATATCAACCTCCAGATCATTCCACAATCTAATACCCTGAGATCAAGTGGATCGCATCTTCAGACTGGTGCGACACCACGGCTTCACAAACATCTCCATCCCCTTAAGATAATAATTACTTTCTCTTTTAACAAATTTCCCTTGAATGTTAGTAGGTAGTATGTTTTTGTTGGCCTCATACATATACATAAATAGTAAGATATTGTAATCAACCAAGTCATAAAATTTTAATAACTTTAGCTGATGAAACAATATATTTGACGGATGGTTATAATCTTTTCTGGTAATAATTCTTATGTCTCTTTTCTGTAAAATAAAAATTGGATTTGTAATTGTTTTACATGCTTTACCCCAGACTTCAATACAGTAAATTAAATGTGGAACAATAATGGCATTATACAATAGAAACATTGCTTTATCATTGAATAACTCTCTAACTTTGTACATTACTGCAATCGATTTAGCTATTTTAGTTCTTAAATTTTTTACGTGAGATCTCCATGTTAGTTTTTCATCAATGTTGACACCCAGAAATTTCACCTCATTGACTCTATTAATTTAAATTCCATCGACTCTAAATGGAGTATCAAGCACTTTCTTGTTATTACTAAAAATCATATAATTTGTTTTATCAACATTTAAAGATAATTTGTTTAGTTGAAACCAATTTTGTATTTTCACAAATTCTGTTTGTGCCATCTTCAGCATTTGCACAACATTTTCACCCACACAAAGAAAAGTAGTATCATCTGCAAACAAAATACATAAAAAAAAATCCAGTCACATTTATCAGGTCATTCACATATAAAATAAATAGCTTAGGTCCAAGTATAGAGCCTTGAGGCACTCCACATGTAATATTACAGAATTCAGATTTTACATCATTTATTTGAACAAATTGTTTCCTTTTTTCTAGATAACTAGATACCCACTGCAATGCATGCCCTCTAATACCATATTTATTTAGTTTTTTGAGAAGAATATTGTGATCAATAGTATCAAATGCTTTCTTTAGATCAACATGAATACTAATACAATATTTTTTTTTATCCACAGCAGTCATTATCTGTTCCATTAAATCCATGAGTGCCATTGACATAGAATTTTTAGGTCTAAACCCATATTGACTATTACTTAATATATTTTGCTCATTGATAAATTCATCTAATCTAGTGACAAATAATTTCTCTAAAATCTTCGAAAATTGTGGCAACAACGATATTGGCCTGTAATTATTAAACACACGTTTCTCTCCACTCTTATATAATGGTATTACCTTGGCTATTTTCATGTTATTTGGAAATACCCCTGTTGAAAATGATAAATTGCATATATATGTAAATGGCTCAATAACATAACTCATAATATTCTTTACCAGCATCATATCCATGTCCATCCAGTCTTTTGATTTTTTTATCTGCAAGATGTTTTACGATAGTCATAATTTCTTCTTTATCAGTTCCCCCAAGAAAAAAACTGTTTGTGTAATCTGTAACTGTATGGTTTGCATTTTTATCTATATTTGGGATTTTTGCTGCCAGACTTGGGCCAATATTCACAAAATGTTGATTGAATCCATTTGCGATTTCATTTTGATCATAAATGTCTTTGTCATCCTTTACAAAATATTGTGGAATGCTCGATTTTGTTTTATGATTATTCAGAACACTGTTCATTATTTGCCATGTTGCCCTCATATTACCATTACTTTTGTCTAATAATTCACTGTAATATTTCTTTTTATGCTTTCTTATAATCCCTACCAATTTATTTTTATAATTTTTATATCTCTGTTCTGCTTCGTTTGTTCTTAATTTCAGAAAGTTTGAGTATAAGTAGTTCTTTTTTTTACAAGCATTTCTTAACCCTTTGGTCATCCACGGTTTGTCATCAACACGTTTCTTTGTGTAATTTTCTTGTACACAATTTTTTTCATACAAAGCTCCTAAAATATTCATAAATACATCATATGCTTTGTTTACATCATCAACATATACATCCTTCCAATTTTGTTTTGTTTATTTTATTAAAACACTGAAGTTAAAAATGTTTCATTGAAAGAAATATGAACAAAGATCTAAAAGATGATTAGATATGATAAAATCTGCTGCAAAACACATATAGCTATTTAAAAACAATAAATCTGAAGGTATTTTATATAAAGTTATAAACTGAATGGGAAATCTCAGTGTATGTCGTTTTGATGCCACATGCTACACAGTGAATCTACAAATAGCCTAAATAATTATACAGATATAATACACTTAAAACACTGGATTTGTTGATTTTGTTTAAAACAACAATAACAAAAAAAAAACAAAGACATAATTTACAGAGGTTGAGTTTGATGCACAGTAGGAACCAGTGGGTGAAATATAGATGCATTTTATTGTTTTGGATTTTAATTCTGGGAGTCAAACCCAGAAACATTTGTAGGGATAACTAGTATTTAGTTGTGGTTTAGAAAATAAACTAATAAATATATGCGGACTGTAAGGTTTTTAAGTCTGTAAATAAGGGTCATACAGCTTCAATAAGCTTTTTCTGTTCAGTGTTTTATGATATAAAGTATGGATATCCAGATACTTGTTTTTTGCAGACTGACTACAACTACAAGTACTGTACTTCAGTTTGAGGACTTGCCACTATTTAGTACCAATACTGAGTAGTTAACAAGTTGTTACTTAAATATTACACAACTATAGAAACAAATTTATTTAATTAAGAACCCAGGAAACAGTGCTGTCTTAACATTACTTGTGCTTATCTGAAAATATCTCTAAACCACCAACATATAACATATTTTGTCCTTGGTTACTTGCAAAGTGGAAGAATAAATTACATCACCTAGCATAAAAAGTGGAATTGATTTGAAGTATTGGGGTGTTTGATGAGTACAAGTATGAGTACTTGAGGCTGATCCAGGTTACGTGAGTGTAAGTAAATACCTGTTAAAGGGTGCCCGGACCAGAAGTCCAATATCCTTTACATATATTACTCTACAGTTTGAAGTGTTGGGGTGTTTTGATGAGTACAAGTATGAGTACTTCAGGCTGGTATAGAGCTCATTCACTCTGTAAAAAGACACTTCTCCATGAGAACGACCTGGAGATAGTTATGATCTGCTCTCGTGTGAACAGGAAGGTGCAACAGTAGAAGACGTGTGTTCCTGACTCATCACAGCTAACTTTGTTTAGCAGAAGTAATGAATCCCACAAAGATTTCTGGAAAGGTCAGACCCAGCCAGCTGGATCAGGCAGAACCAGTTCAGTGGATACCTGTGCCCCTGTACTGGATCTTGCGCTGAAGGATTTCTTCATTCTGCTCCCCTGCAGACACACACAGCAGGCTGGGCTGAGACGTCACAGGATCCCGCAGCACCAGGAAACTCTGCAGGGAAACACCAAGTGACTCAGTTAACCAGTTGAAGTGCGACTGCGGCCTGTTGAACCAGAAGACATTCTCTCCTACATGTTCAAGCTGACAGACCACACGGCAACTACACAGAGAGGTGTTTCAGGAGGCGGGGTTTGAAGTCTGCGTTAGTATTTCAGTGAAAAGTCTGGTTGGTTTGACTGCAGCACATCTGTGAGGGGTTATGAGTGATAAGAGCTGCAGTTGGATTTCCTCCCTGCTGATATGAGTCTACAGGAGCTGTTTGCTTCTAGTTGACTGCAAACCAAAACGTTGCTCCACTTCTCTTGCAGGTTCATGATATAGTCTACATGTTATTGTCATGTTATTGTCTAAAACAAGTCTCTCTTGTAAAGGAATCCTCGTGACTCAATGAGAATAACCTGAATAAATAAAGGTTGAATGAATAGTGGTGCCACAACAGGTCTGATCCAAGTATCTACTGTATTTACGTGAACTACTGAGTGAACTTTGCTCTGTGAAGAAGTACAGATTAAAACATTCAGTAAGTGAAGCTTGGTTTCTACGGTGTTTCTAAAAATATTAGCCTCAGTCTTTGGTTGAGCATCATTTCAAGAATGTTTCATCTGTGGCTGCACTTAACTCAAGTCTACCGCAGGACGTGCACAAAGCACCGCATCACATCAGCATGTTTGAGTCAAACAACACATATGAACACATTTATATCTTTATAAAAAAGAATGACAATTCATGATCATTGAAGCCCCCGTATTACTTACTGGTTGTTTTTCTCCTGTTTCAATTGTAATTTAAGATTATACATACATATATATATATATATATATATATATATATATATATATATATATATATATATATATACATACATATATATATATATGAAGAAGAGAGGTACATTTTTATGCCTTTGTTTGTCTGAGGCAGTTCAGAGTGAAATTTTTATCCAACATCAGATGCAATGGCAGAGTCAGTGGATGGTCACTGGTGGCCTTGGCCAACATAGATTAATCTTCAAGCACCCCTCCCATTCAGGAAATTATACCTTAAAGCAATATATAAACGAGAAAGCATAGTTTCTTTAAATGATGTGATGGTCAGCTTACATATATAAACATGGTGGTGGCCATCTTGGATTTTGACATGGCAACCCATTTTTTGATTGTGACCTTTCTTAAGCCTAAGTGCAGCCACACACCAGAATGGAAGTTGGTACCTCAACTTTTTAAACGTATCCAGCTCACAAGACAAATGAACGGATTAAGCATACGTCCATTTCTCCACTTCTCTCCATGATAGGTGACAAAAACAGCTCTCCCACATCCGGCAAAAAAACTTTTCGGTAGACTCATCGTTTAAAGTTTAACTAGAAAGTTGGAATTTGACTGTACTGGCATTTTGATATCCTCAGGTTTACCTAAAGGAGATGATGTCACTAACATCTGAGCTGTCCAAACTTTTTCAAGTTGTTGCAAATTATTTTTACTCCTAAAATCTTGGCACATCCTATGCAGTTTCAAAACATTGGCCTTTTATCAGTTTAAATTAATGTTAAAGTAATATGTTGGAAATTTGGACAGAAGCTGCATTAGTACTCTTTATCATTTCTTCTAAATAAATTTATCCAACAAACATGACCAACTTTACCATTTTTGTTGCTTGGATACATATGACACCTGCTTATCTTTTATTGGCCCATTCTGCATCTTTCCTATGGATTGTGGCTTTTATCACCCCACACCTTCCCATTGACTCAAAAACTGGGGTTTGCAGGTCTCCAACTATTTCCTCACAAGTGGTAGGATGAGGTTAATTTAGAGCTCGCCGAGGAAACACCATCTTGCATGACTGATGCCTCTTGAGAATTTAGGGTGCTGAGCTGTGAAAATGGTGTAGGCCTTTAGGGAGGTGACGTGCAACAGGTTGACCCACAGAACCACCAGCCACCCCAACCATGTGGGTCCTCGATGTCTACACTTTAGGTCATATTTTCCTTTCTGCTATTTTCAGTCATGGTGCGTTGTGCTCAGGAGCACTGCAGCCAGTCCTTTATTTCAAACATTCTTGCTACCATTGAATCTTGAATCTGAGCCGTGAACCTCTGGATTTAGAAACTTTTATCAGAGAAGTGATGTCTGGCTTGTTCTGCTGTAAACTCCCCACAAATTAAAGATGATTTACCTGATCTGTAAAATAATCATCATGAGGAGTAACACTCCTGATACTATGTGATGAACTTGAAAATATATATTTCTGATAGAGCTGATAAGATCCATAAGTTCCATAGGCAATGTATCAGTCATTTTTGGCCAACTTGATAAAAAAGTTCCTAAATTATATAGGAATTAAGTAAAACATGTAAGGTTTTTGAAACTTTTCAAACAAACTCTGATGAAAGTGAAAGGTTTAATGAAGTCTAAAGTCTGCTTTGTTCTAGTATTGCTCATTTAAAACTGTGCTTTCACGTCGCTGTTCATCTTCAACATCAAAGTTGGCTTTGACTGCTGCTTTGCTATTTATAGAGGTTTTAAAGAAATCATGTTTCCTTTTCTGAAAGCAGGAGGCAGAAGGAGAACAAGCAGCTGGTTGTGTCTCGGTGAACTGTGAAACATATCAATGCTTGGTCAGAGTACACCACAACCAGCTTTGTTCTCACACATCGGAGTGCACAAGTTAATAAAGACACACAGGAAGTGGCTCACAGTCTCCGTGTGTACAGAAATAAGTTCACTCTAAGTCACTAAAGTCTGAACGCAGACGAGCAGCAAGGCAGCAGAGACTCAACAAGTGTTGGCTGAATCATCACACATATCAGAACTCTACAACAAAAATTCAATTGTACAATAAAAAAGACAAAAAGATCCTCCCTCCACCATCATGGATCAATGATTTGCCAGTTATGGTGCTTTGCATGTCTCAGTCACACCAGAGTTTAAAACCAACCAACGCACAAACACATTCCAGTTTGCTACTCACAGTCTTTGCAGATGAAGTGTCCTGTGTGAAACGTCCTTTGTTCAATTCACACACCCTTTTATTCAAGACTACTTCTGCATTCAGCCTATAAAGGCACTCTGTTGTGTTCAGAGACAGAAAAGGGAACTGCTTTCACGTGCGTGTGCAGAAACGTGTGCACGCAGCAATGTTTCTTTACGCTCTCATTTCTGACACATGCAGCGTCTTGGTTTCAGAGAACAGTGGACTGAAGAAGAAGCAGAAGAGCTGACTCTGATCACAGAGCTGCACAGAAGTGACCAGCGATAGAGAAGATGCAAAGGAGGATCAGAGCCTGAAAGAAAAACTGGCAACAAGACAATAAAAGAGTTCTGTGTCAAACTCAAGGCCCGAGGGCCAAATATGGACCTTTTAAACATCTTAATTGGGCCCCAAGATGATATATTAAATGGAAAATAATTGTATTCATCTCTCATTTAGCTTATAACTAATGACTTTTTAAAGCCAAAACCAAAAAATTAGTTTGGATTTTTCAGTAGTCTGATTTTTATGTGAAAGAGAGTCAGAGAATGTCAAACTCTTGTCAGGAACCTGCAGCCAAGAAAAGATGTCAGATATCTGACTTGAGTTAATGACTGAAACTGACTCTTGATTTTTACCTTTTCTCTTTTCCTTTTAGCCCCTTTACTTAACTGAATTTGACACCCCTGCTCTAAAGAGTCTCTTTTAGTTGTCTTTCAGAGACAAATAATGAAGTCCTAGAGATAAAAAAGACAGATGTACCAATAGAGATGATGGACAAGGTAAACAATGTGTTGAAGGAGCAGAAGGATAAACTCAAACTGGTTGATCAGTGAGGGAAACTGGACTGGTCCCAGTCTGAGCTGCTGTCATTAGAGATAAGCTTACCAAACCTTTCAAAACCAACTCAAATTAAAGGTCAAAGGAACACCTGCCGCCTTTCATGCTAGTTTTAGACCAAGATAATATTATTAAGTTGGGAAATGACGGAGTTGCAGTCTTGAAAATAAAAATAAAAATTATGTGCAATCCAGATATTGCCAGATGTCCAATTCAAATGACTTCAGCCTTTATCACATCAAGTTTTAGGTGACACCACCTCACGGAACAACTATCGACCAATCTCTAAACTCTGCATTTTAGCCAAGGTTCTAGAAAAACTGATAAACCCTCAAATCAAAAATTCCCTGGACTCATTTAACATCTTATCTCCCCATCAATCTGGTTTCAGGAAACAACACAGCACAACCACTGCTTCACTGAAGGTTCTTAATGACGTTGTTGAAGCACTGGATGCTAAGGATTATTGTGCTGCACTTTTCTTAGACCTGTCTAAAGCGTTTGACACTGTGGATCATAACATCTTGTGTCATAAACTCTCAGAAATCGGTTTCTCAGAACACACTTGGTTCTCTAACTATCTCTCAGACCAGAGGCAATGTGTTCAATATAATGGTACTTCCTCCAGTTATTTAACACTCAACAATGGTGTAACACAAGGCTCAGTCTTAGGACCCACCCTCTTTACAAGCTACATACTGTAGGTAATTTAGGTCAGAGCATCCTTGATGCATCCATACATTTCTATGCTGATGACTTAGTTGTTTATTGTCGAGCTAAAACAGTTGCTAAAGCTTTCCAGCTTTTGCAGTCCACTTTCGACATAATCCAGTCTGATTTGTTCCGTCTCAAACTTGTCCTAAATGCAGACAAAACCAAAAGGATGCTGTTTTCAAACAGGACGTCGGTCCCAACAGTTCTTCCTTTGATTTTATCTTTGACTGGTGTGAGTTTGTTTGAGATTCTTACAAATACTTGGGTATCTTGGTCGACTTGCAACTCGCTTTTAAGCTTCACGTTGAGAACTTGGTAAAGAAATTAAAAATTAAATTAGGTTTCTTTTTCAGAAATACAGCATGTTTAACTCTGAATGCTAGGAAACGCCTTGTATCTGTGACCTTCCTTCCCTCCATTGATTACGGTGACATTATTTACATGAACGCTCCTACAAGCACCCTGTAGATGTTGGATGCTGTCTATCATGGTGCACTAAGATTCATAACTGCCTGTAACTACCGTACCCATCACTGCACCCTGTGGGTGGGTACTGGTTAAGTGGTCATCATTAACTTCCCACAGACTCTCCCACTGGTACATTTTCATCTTTAAATCACTTCTTGGTCTGCTGCCTTCATACATCTCCTCCTGCATGTCTCTGCATGAGTGCAGCTACAACGTGCGCTCTCAGGACATTATTACCTGCAGTGTTCCCTCAGTGAGGACTGAACTAGGCAAAAGGGCAATTTAACACAAGATAACACAATATCAGAAGAGAGGTATAACTTTTATGTCTCAACTTTAGATGATCTCAGTTCAAATCTTTGGTGTGAAAGGCGGCGGGTGACATGCGTTACAACAAACTGTAAACCTTTAATTTAAAAACTAATTTTTCAATAAGTCAATCTGATATTTGACAACATGAAATCGCTGCACCCTCATAATTTACTTAACATTTCTTCAGATAAGAGTCTATGATGAGTTTTTCTCTTACCCCAGTGGGTGTCCCACTGAGGACAGCCTGGGCCTCTTCTCTGTCCAAGGGCGTCCTGGGACACCAGGCCTCCTGGCACCCCTTCAGCTGCTCCAGGAGGGTTCGTCTACTCCTGCTGCCCCTCCAGGGGATGGCTGTGGTCCCGTTAACCGGACTATGAACGGCCCTGGATGCCATCATACAAACACTTTTATGTATACGGCTTGTGTCATGTGGAAGTTTCATGTTAATATACATATAGCTGATGTTTGGAGTCTAACATTGACAAAATGAAAGTTAATGTTGCTGATTTTTCTCAAGAATTTGATCTTGTTTAATTATCATGTTAAAATCTTCCAAAATTCAGAAATGACATGAAAAATGAGCTTTCATGTTGCATACTCACATGTTTTCTTCTCGTCGCAGTAATTGCTTCACATTTCTGTCTTCTTTCTCTTGAACTTATCTTTTTTTTGTTTTTTTTGGGCACACAGCAAATTGTTGCTTCAGGGCTCAAAATACCATCAAGGCTGAAACAGGAAGTTTACTTTCTTCTTTGAAACACATCCTCATAATGTTTCCTGACAGTAATGTGTCAAACTTTCTGCATTTCAAAATTCAGCTCAGTGCTCTAATCCTAACACGACTTCTTCTGTTTCCTGTTCATGCTGGCGTTTAGTGCTGTTTCAATTTCTGTTAGAGAAGTTCACTGCAGCTTGTTTAGCCCTCCCCTTTCTTCAGTCTGCCTGTGGTTATAACCAAACTCTGTGCACGATGCAGTGAAGACTCCACATGTGCTGTGTGACCATTCGACTGTCTCTGGTTTTAGCTGAGATATGGTGATTTCTACTTTCTCCAGAGATATATTAAAATTATCTGCCATCTTAGATACAACAAATTTAACACTGCACCAGTGGAAGAAACTCAAACATGAGCTTTACTGTAGTTAAAGATGCTTGTAGTGCAGAATGAGTGGACAGAGGGGGAGGTGTTGTTTGATGAATACATGAAGGCTGGGAGGTTTGTTTGGCCACAGGTCTGCCTGTTGTGGAAACCACACATGCACTGAGGCGTTGTTATATCGTTGACAAGAAGGCTTCTAGGCTTTTATATGAGAAGAATGCTGTCAAACTCACCAACCACATCATTTGCACGACAGCTTACCAGACAATCCAAATCATTTGTTGCAGTTTCTAACTGTGAAGCTGAATTCAAACCATTCTGTAGCTTTTTATGAACAACTCAGGCATCAGCATCACTCGGTCGCTTGAGCTTTGACTTGGTCATTCCAAAACATGAACTTTACTCTTCTTGAACTATTCTTTGGTAGAACATCTTGTGTGCTGAGGGTCATTGTCTCACTGCATGACACACCTTCTCTTGAAACTATATACCATACCATACCAAATTCAGTTCTGACATTTTCTTTTAGAATTCTCTGATATAATTCAGAATTAATTGTTCCATCAATGATGGCAAGCCATCCTGGCCCAGATGCAGCAAAACAAGCCCAAACTATGATACTACCACCACCATGTTTCACAGATGGGATAAGGTTCTTGTGCAGGAATGCAGAGTTCTCCATTCTCCAAAAATAACACATTAATTTAAACCAATTTTTTTTATTTTGGTCTCGTCCGTTCACAAAACATTCTTCCAACAGCCTTCTGGTTTGTCCACGTGATCTTTATCAAACTGCAAATGAGCAGCCGTGTTCTTTTTGGAGACCAGTGTTTTCCTCCTTCAACCCTGCCATGAACCATTGTTGTTCAGTGTTCTCCTGATGGTGGACTCATGAACATCAACATTAATGTGAGAGAGACCTTCATTTGTTAGAAGTTACCCTGGGCTCCTTTGTAACTTTGCTGACTACATGCCTTGCTCATGAAGTGATCTTTGTTGATCCACCACTCCTGCGGAGGGTAACAATGGTCTTAAATTTCCTCCATTTGTACACAATCTGTGTGACTGTGGATTGGTGGAGTTCAAACTCTTTACAGATGTTTTGTAACATTTTCCAGTCTGATGAGCATCAACAACTCTTTTTCTGAGCTCCTCAGAAATCTCCTTTGTTCCTGCCACGATCCACTTCCACAAACATGTTGTGAAGATCAGACTTTGATAGATCCTGTTCTTTAAATCAACCAGGGTGCCTACTCACACCTGATCATCATCCATTGATTGAAAACACCTCAATCTAATTTCACCTTCAAATTAACTTATAGCATATCCTACAAATACCAAAAAAAAGGACAACATTTTAATATTAAAGAATCTTAACATAATATGATTTTACCCATTTTTTCACATAACTGGTATATTTCTTTTTGAACTTGACCCAGCATGAAACAGGAAGTGACATCCAACAGGGACTTCCTGGTTTTTGTTTATAGAAACATTATTATTTGAACTCTCCTTCATTTCCCTGATAGTTAAATAATCTAAAGAAACCTAAGATTCTTTATCGTCTGTGATGTCGGCCATTGCTCTGTTTACACGCGGTCGTTCCTCTTTGACATTACTTCCTGTCACTGCAGATGTTAATACCTCAACAACTGTTCTTCTCAGCAGCATGAATTTTATTTTTGCAATTCTTTATTATCTTTTCAAAAACGCATTGATATTTATTGTGAAAATTTGATGTCACATGCATTTTAAATAATTTTTAGGCTTCCATTCAGAAAAAAAGTATTAAATGCAAACGTATTAAACCGATTCACCACAAGTCAAAGTTTTCATAAGCAAAACTGTTTCTTACTAAGATTCAAAATTTAGCAACAATTTCAAAAATATTAGAAACAAAATATAATTTCCAACAAAGCAAACAAAAACAAATCTGATTGATTTAACAAAAGTAGAATTTATTGAAGAAATTTGCATTAGTTTCTGTAATCATTACGTGTTATTCTGCCCACAACAGCTTTTTATTTTTTACACAACCTTTTATTTCTTACAGATTTTTCATGTTTTGTCTTGATAAAGCGTTTCAGCAACCGTGCCTGTTTATACTCCTTAAATTCAAATACAGTAGTCCCTCGCTTATCGCAGGGGATCACTACCCTGAAGCCCCGCGATAAGTGAAAAACCGAGAAGTAGGAATAGTAATACAAGTGGTAAGTAGTAGTTTATTTTAGTATTTATATAGATATTTATTAAGGCGTTTTAAACCCTTCCCACACTCTTGCAATATTCTAAACAATGTTTCTAAGCTCTAAACGCTCTAAGAGAACACAGCATGTCATGATTTCAGCTCTCTGTCTATGGCTGCACTCTGCCACCTGCAAGCACTCTTAGCCACGCCCACGTCTCCGCTCTGCACGGAGAACAGCTGATCAGCTGCAGCAGAAAGTTTATCCTGCAGTAAGGTGCAGGAGGAAGCTTTTTCTGAAGCTGTGGGCTGCACAAAGGTGCAGCAGGTGCTAAAAAATTTAAAATAATTTATTTTAAATAAAAATTCCATGCCAATCTTGCGGCTCATTCATCAGTCAGCCAACTGTATGTCATGTCCAATCTTATTTTGAAAAAACGCGATAGAGCGAGTCCGCAATAAAAGAACCGCGAAGTAGCGAGGGACTAATGTATTCATAAAAAACAACAACCAGTCAAGGTTTCCTATGAGGACAGAGGAAAACATTTTCTTGCACATTGTGCGTGGTTTGTTGTTTCATGTAATGATGAGAATCATTCTGATCAATCCAAAATGTGTTTTGTAAAACAGAAAATGATGGCTAAAAGCCGTGATAGAAACCCAGATGTCAACTAATTTCACAAACAGGAGGTTTCATGCTCTGATAAAAGCATTACAACACTTTCAATAAGTTTAGCCCAGGGAAAACCTGACATGTAAAACAGCTCAGCTACCTTCAGTCCAAATGATATTCTCAATTAAAACCAGTGCTGATGAACGATGCATTGCTTCGCAACCATGCAGTGTGGGGGAAAGTATGAAGCACTTTTCACACATCGGCAAACATGTGGCTATATATATATTTGTATTTGTATTAAATAATTGTAAACAGTGAGCTGTGCTGCAGTGAGAACTGCACAGAGGAGAATAATGTAAGCTCAAAGCAATGTTAGTAAAGTGCAAATGGCCCAAATAGACAGTAGGATGAAACACAGAGAAGTCCTCAGACCCAGTAAAGCTTCATTTCCAAACCACAAATCCCAGATACTGAATCTCCTTTTACACTGCAACATGATTAAAACGAGGAGCTCTCCTCAGTCACTCCTCTGCTTTGAGTTGTGGACCTGCTGAAGCAGAAGTGGCCTCAGCTGCAGCTCCTTTGCTTTCACCGGACTTCTCTTTCTCATCCTGGTTATCGATCCTGGCATGTTCCATCTTCACCAGCTCCTCCAGCTCCGCCTGCAGGAACATTAAAGGTTAACTGTAAATGGACTGTACTTATATAGCACCTTTCTATCTGTTCAAGTTACTCAAAGCGCTTTACATTACAATCTATGTCCTCATTTACCCATTCATACAGCACTCTACTAGATCTGTACAAAGCTAATAGAACAAATCATTCTAAAGAGACTAATCAGAGCTTTATCACATTCATACACTGATGGGACACACATCAGAGGCAATGAGGGGGTACAGTGTCTTGCCCAGGGACACTTTGGCATGTGACTGCTGGTGGATTCGAACCACCAACTCTTGCATTGAGGACGACTGCTCTAAGCCGCCCCAATGTGACTAACAGAGTTCCTGAGCAAAGATGGCACAACCCCCCCCCCCCCCCCCCCCCCAAAAAAAAAAAAACAAAACTGCTTGGTCTTTAAGTTTTATTGATCATTCATTGATCTATGACCCGAGACCCCAAATTTTCTCATCTTTTCTTGTTTCTCTTATACTTTTCCACCAATAATGACCTCATGACTACATGAATGTTTTGTAATAACTTTGAAATTTCACAACACGCTCTGACAGACACAAAGACATTCATAGATGTTAGAAAATGATAAACACTTTAAAAGTTAAACAAAATCACACCAAAATTGTTCTTTCTGCAATTTAAAATACTGCTGTTGTGAAAATTTTGTATTTTTTATTGTGTACTCTTGCAGACATATACTGTTGTTATACTAAATACCCTCCTAATTATTTAACAATCTGGTTTATGAGAACAGCGTCATTGCTTTCACACAACAAAATTATAATAAAAGTGTATTTCCAAGCTCTTGAAGTATGATGGACAATTCTGATGATGCATTTTTCACGACTGTAAAGTAGAGCCCGACCGATATATATCAGTAGGGACGATATTTTAGGCTGATATAGGAGTTTTGGGGACCGATCGGTATTGGCAAAAATTGTCCCATTATGCGCAGATATAGAAACTGGGAACAAGCCGTGTCCTTACTGGCAAAAGGTGTAATTGCACAATGTATCCAGCAGAGAGTGCATGAAGACTACTTTCAAGTCATGGTCGTTCACTTAAGTTTCAGATTCACCTTCAGCACATACGAAGCAGGGAGCAATACTGTGTAGCATATTTAGCTGAACAGAGCCTGGTAAGTTTATTTTAACTGAGCTGTAAAACAAACAACAATATCAAAGGCTGTTTTTGTATGACAACCCAGTGACAAGGATGCCTGCAGCGTCAGCATAATGTGATGACGTTACGCGCACCTACCTGATCTGATCACGGCGGAGAGGAAGAAGTCAAAATGTTGGCGGTGTGGATTTTTTTTTTCATTGAGGATATTGGATTCCCAAGATTTCTGTACTACGATGAGCCTCGCTATATCTTCCCCAGTCAGAGATATTTTTCCTACGTAGCCTTACCCGAGTTACAAGCCGTCATTTCCGACGTCACTGAGAAACTAATAGCCGATAACACTTGGGTGAGTTTTACCACAGACATTTGGACGTCGTGTTAGCCCCGTTAGCATGACTAGTCTTACGGTACAATGGATAGACAAAAACTTTGATCTTAAAAAGGCTGTCTTTCATGCACAATAGTGCAAAGGATCCCACACTGCAGCTAGAAACCTGGAACAAGTCTCCACAAGTGAGACAGCATCACGGGTGACTAATGCTAATAAATAATATTTAACACTTTTCATTTAATATAAGTTAAAGTGCTATGCCCTTTTTGGAGTCCTTGGAGGGGGTACTGGAAAGTGCACCCCCTGGGGACTCCCTTGTTCTGTTGGGGGACTTCAATGCTCACGTGGGCAATGACAGTGAGACCTGGAGGGGTGTGGTTGGGAGGAACGGCCCCCCTGATCTGAATCCGAGTGGTATTCTGTTGTTGGACTTCTGTGCTCGTCATGGATTGTCCATAACGAACACCATGTTCAAGCATAAGGGTGTCCATATGTGCTCTTGGCACCAGGACACCCTAGGCCGCAGTTCAATGAGCTACTTTGTCGTCGTCTCATCTGATCTGCGGCCACATGTCTTGGACACTCGGGTGAAGAGAGGGGCGGAGCTGTCCACTGATCACTACCTGGTGGTGAGTTGGCTCTGATGGTGGGGGAGGATGCTGGACAGAGCTGGCAGACCCAAACGTATTGTGAGAGTTTGCCGGGAATGTCTGGCAGAGTCTCCTGTGAGACGGAGCTTTAACTCCCACCTCCGGGAGAAATTTGAACATGTTCCGGGGGAGGTGGGGGATATTGAGTCCAAGTGGGCCATGTTCCGTGCCTCTATTGTCGAGGTGGCTTACTGGAGCTGCAGCCGCAAGGTTGTCGGTGTCTGTCACGGTGGCAACCCTCGAACCCGGTGGTGGACACCATCGGTGAAGGATGTTGTCAGGCTGAAGAAGGAGTCCTATCGGGCCTTTTTGGCCTGTGGGACCCCGGAAGCAGCTGATGGGTACCGGCAGTCCAAGCGACATGCGGCTCGGGTGGTCGCTGAGGCAAAAACTCGGGCATAGGAAAAGTTCGGAGAGGCACGGAGAATGACTTCGGCATGGCTTCGAGGTGATTCTGGTCCACCATCCGGCATCTCAGGGGGGGAAAGCGGTCCACCACCAACACTGTTTATAGTGGGGGTGGTGTGCTGCTGACCTCAACTCGGGATGTCATGGGTCGGTGGGCGGAATACTTTGAAGACCTCCTCAATCCCACTGTCACGTCTTCCACTGAGGGAGCGGAGCCTGGGGATTCTGGGTCGGGCCCTCCAATTTCTGGTGCTGAGGTCACCGAGGTGGTTAAAAAGCTCCTCGGTGGCAGGGCCCCAGGGGTGGATTAGATTCGCCTGGAGTTCCTTAAGGCTCTGGATGTTGTAGGGTTGTGTTGGCTTACGCAACTCTGCAATATTGCGTGGACATCAGGGGAAGTTCCCCTGGATTGGCAGACCGGGGTGGTGGTCCCCCTATTCAGAAAGGGGGACCGTAGAGTGTGTTCCAACTACCGGGGTATCACGCTCTTAAGCCTCCCTGGTAAGGTCTATTCAGGGGCTCTGGAGAGGAGGGTCCATCAGATGGTTGAACCTCGGATTCAGGAGGAGCAGTGCAGTTTTCGCCCCGGTCATGGAACACTGGACCAGCTCTACACTCTCAGCAGGGTCCTGGAGGGTGCATGGGAGTTTCCCCAACCGGTCTACATGTGCTTTGTGGACTTGGAGAAGACGTTCGACCATATCCCTCAGGGAACCCTGTGGGAGATACTCTGTGAGTATGGGGTACCGGGCCCTTTGATACGGGCTGTTAGGTCCCTGTATGACCGGTGTCAGAACCTGGTCCGCATTGCCGGCAGTAAGTCGGGCTTATTCCCGGTGAGAGTTGGACTCCGCCAAGGTTGCCCTTTGTCATGATTCTGTTCATAACCTTTATGGACAGAATTTCTAGGCGCAGCCAAGGTGTTGAGGGGATCCATTTTGGTGGCCTTAGGATTGCGTCTCTGCGTTTTGCAGATGATGTGGTCCTGTTTGCGTCATCAGATCATGATCTACAGTGTTCGCTGGAGTGGTTCGCAGCCGAGTGCGACACAGCCGGGATGAAGATCAGTTCCTCCAAATCCGAGGCCATGGTCTTGAGCCGGAAAAGGGTAGAGTGCCCTCTCCGGGTCAGGGAGGAGGTCCTGCCCCAAGTGGCGGAGTTCAAGTATCTTGGGGTCTTGTTCATAAATGAGGGAAAAATGGAACGTGAGATCGATAGGCAGATAGGTGCAGCGTCTGCAGTGAAGCAGGCGCTGTACAGGTCTGTCGTGGTGAAGAGAGAGCTGAGTCAAAAGGCGAAGCTCTCAATTTACCGATCGATCTACGTTCCTACCCTCATCTATGGTCATGAGCTTTGGGTTGTGACCGAAAGAACGAGATCTCGGATACAAGCAGCCGAAATGAGTTTTCTCCGCAGGGTGTCTGGGCTCTCCCTTAGAGATAGGGTAAGAAGCTCGATCATCCGGGAGGGACTCAGAGTAGAGCCGCTGCTTCTCCACGTCGAGAGGAGCCAGTTGAGGTGGCTCGGGCATTTGTTTAGGATGCCTCCTGGACGCCTCCCTGGTGAGGTGTTCCGGACACGTCCCACCAGAAGGAGGCCCAGAGGAAGACCCGGGACACGCTGGAGAGACTATGTTTCTCGGCTGGCCTGGGAACGCCTTGGGATTCCCCCGGAAGAGCTGGCCCAAGTGGCTGGGGAGAGGGAAGTCTGGGCCTCCCTACTTATGCTGCTAAACCCGCGACCCGACCCCGGATAAGCGGAAGAAAATGTATGGATGGATGGATAAAGTGCTATGCATATGGTTGTTTCTGTTTCTGATGTTATTAATATAAGTCACCAGCTCTTACAGGTGTTACACATTTTTTTTAGCAGATAAGCCTAAATAAGACGGCTATGTTCTGACAAAGGAAAGTATATAAAAAATATTGGTATCGGTTACCGGCCAATTAAGTTTTAACACATCGGCATATCAGATATCGGCCAAAAATCCAATATTGTGCATCCCTAATTTTTGTAACACACTTGATAATTTTATGGTGAACAGTGAAGGATAGAAAATGTGAACACATATTTAAGAAGAATGTTTCAAGACCTCAAAACAGGTTTAAAATTAGCTGTTTAATTAGATTCTTGGGGGTGGACAAACCTCAGACATTTTCAGCCAATGTATCGGTTATCAGAACTGGGCTCCCCCGCCCAATATCAGTATCGACAATAGACAAAATTTCCATATTAGTCAGGCTCTACTTTAAAGTGGTTCCATTTGAGATGAAACTTTCCTTCACCGATCACTGTCTATGTTGTCTGTTGGTCCAGCCTCTGCTACAGATCAAGTTCCTTACATGCTCTTTGGAATTAATAATTGCCCTATCCACCTCAGAATAATGTGTGATCATCGTGTGCTGGCTGCAATTTGCTCTGACTGCTGCACAGGAAATGAAAGTCACAAATAAATACAAGATTTGAGAAAGAAAACTGCTGAACTTACCTTCCAGCCCAACAAGTCGGCCAGAGCCAAGCAGCCGTCATCACAGGAGCTGATCTGAGCCACATCTCTACAAAAAGTCACAGGACAGAAACGATCACAGACGATCAATTCAGACTCTTTCTTCCACATAAAGATGTCAACGTCTCTCTTCCAGTGTAAGTTTTCTTTTAAAAAAAGACACGCAAGTCTCTCAAAGAATAAAACACAACCCAAGAAGATCAGTGAAGATTACTCAAGAATATCAGCATTCAAGAAGAAAACAGACCAATAATGTTTGATTCAAAACACTCGACCCTCATCTCTGGTTCCAACAGATTCTCTAGAAAGTGTCTCAGGTGTTTCCCACAGTTCATTTTCATCGATTTATTGGTGGGTAGGTTTCATAACTCAGCAATAAAGAGATGCTTATTTAAATTAATTCAGGTTTTAAGTACCCCTTTCACTTTTTCCACCTTTTTTGTCGAAATAAGATCACTTTTGTCTTGAAAGAACAGGAAAGAAAAGAGTGAGGAAAAAGTTTAAGGCACTAACAAACATCCTATTAAATAACAGCATGAAAGTCTTTAATAAACAGGTTATTTTTACATTTAATACCATACATGTTTACACATATCACAATGTAACAAACAACCTGAAGACTTTGAGCTCTTTATAGGTACTGCCATATACATAAAAGAAAAATGCCTAGTGTCCATTTTTCTATTAAACTTTGTCTCCTTTAATAACTATTCAGAAATTAAAACAAATGCTTGGTTAAAGACAATATTGTCCTAAATGTTTTTAAAGTCAACAGGTATTTGCTGCTTTAGCTGTAAAATAATCATGGAACATTCTCTTCTACACAACTCTTATAGTGGAAAACACCTTCTCTTTGTAAGTTTCATTATTGGAAATTGGTCTGATGACTCAGCAGTGGGGGAGTGGTGGTGCAGAGGTTAGAGAAGGTGGGACTGTGATCGGAAAGTCGCAGATTCAACTCCCGATACCGTCAACATCAAAATTTGGGTGGTAAAGGTGAAACACCCACACCTGCCTCCACCCTCATTTGCCCCACTCTGGGCCCATGAGCAAGGCCTTTAACCCCCACCATCTGCTCCCAAAAACAGGTCTATTGAAAACGAGTCCTCGTGACCCAATGATACGATCTGTATAAATAAAGGGTAAATAAAAAAACAAACAAAAGGAAACCTTTGAGCAAGAGGGTGAGTCTGAGTGAGCGAGTGCTGTTTTTACTCTTTGTGAAATTTGATGACACCGTCTGGTGGTGAAATGTACGATAACAGCTCATCTGGAGCAAAGAACACGCTTCATGAAGTACTGAGCATGTTTATGTGCTGTATTAAGCATTCGTGTTTTACTTAAACACATAAGTTCAGTGGGAGTGTGTGAAAGGGGGCTGTTGTTGGTGTTTTATATAGTGTCAGTAAACCAGTCTCACCTGTAAGCCTTTTCTGAGTCGAAGTCCATACCTCCTCCAAAACCCAGAAACCCTAACATCGGATCAGCCTGCGGAGAGACAAACACATAAGCTAAAGCTGAGTCAGAGGAAGTGATGTTTGTGTAATGGAGCAGTAAAGCCTCACCTCTCCTGCTTTCTCCATATTAATAAGCAGCCGGGGGCAACTTTTTGAAACCCTAAATGACAAAAACAACATGAAATAGAAGGCTTAGCATGTTTCTCACTGCCTTTAAAGAGGCACACTACCTACTATGATGGTTACACTAAGATCATAACCCCTGGAAGACCCTTAAACTTCATGAGTTAGTGCTTCTTAGGGGGGAAATTACTTAAAAAAACTATTGTAAAAAGTTTTTTTTTTACAATAAACTAGTCAGTCTATTAAAGCCATCTCAGCCTGAAGCAAAAGTATCAAATGCAAATTACTTTAAAAAAAATTTAAACCTTTAATTCTAGCCTCATTCTGGGTGGAGTTTGCATGTTCTCTCTGTGCGTGAGTGGGTTTTCTCTGAGTACTCCAGTTTCCTCCCACAGACCAAAAACATGCATGTTAGACTGATTGGTAACTCTAAATTGTCTCTAGGTGTGAGTGGGAGAGTGAATGGTTGTTTGTCTCATTTGTCTTTATGTGTCTCTGTGATGGACTGGAGACCTGTCCAGGTGTCCCTGTGATGG